CCAAATATGGGAATACCGTCATTCTACCGATGGCTGATCGACAGATATCCACGTTCAGTAGTTGAAGTGATAGAAGATTCTCCGTCATTTGTTAATGGTGTTAAGGTCCCCGTGGATACCACGAAGCCGAATCCCAATGGCTTTGAATTCGACAATCTCTACCTTGACATGAATGGCATTATCCATCCCTGCTTTCATCCAGAAGACATGGTATGCTTGTTTGTATATTTACTTTTGCGAGTTTTGGGTTTATTGGAATAAAAGTTCCTTTCTTTTTTTTGGAAGAATTCAGTTGAATTTTGGCCTCTCTTTGCAGCCAATGCCTGAAACTTACGATGAAGTATTCAGGGCAGTATTTAAGTACCTTGATCGGATTTTTACTGTGATTAGGCCGCGAAAACTTCTTTACATGGCAATCGGTCAGTTAGCTGTCTGTTCTTGATATATTTATCATATGAAAGGATAATTTAGTATTTCTAAAATAGAAGACTTCGAGGATTTTGTCAAATCAATTTTGGCAAAATGAAGTTTATGGGCATCGAATTGGTTGTTAACTACTATCATACAATATTTTTAACTCAAATAAATATTCTTATGATAGAGAAATTCATGAAAAACGTAAAATGGTCATGCTGTTACCTTGACATAGTAAAACTAGAGGGTAATTGTGTTGTTACATAATGATTTCTTGCTAGATGGTGTTGCACCAAGGGCTAAGATGAACCAGCAGCGAGCAAGACGATTCAGAGCTGCTATAGATGTAACTGATGAAGTGAGTGTTATGTTTTTCACGGTTTCAAAGTTCGTGTTCAGAGATTATTCTTTTTGCTTTTATATATATATATATATAATTTTATTTTATTTTTATTTTTTATTTTTTTTCAAATTGCTATTAGACTTCTCAAATGGAGAGACCAAGAGGAGACCTTGAACAGGAAGGAAATAACTTGGGAAAGCAAAAGCTCGATTCAAATGTAATAACGCCTGGAACCGAATTCATGGAATTGTTGTCTGATGCTCTTCGGTATTATATACATTGGAGGACGAACCACGATCCTGGTTGGCAAACAATCAAGGTAGGAATTTGACACCCAGTTAGTTAGTGGGAGAAACTATTCTTTCTCTATTTGATGTGATTTTCTCTAATTTTGTCAGGTAATCCTTTCGGATGCTAGTGTGCCGGGTGAAGGTGAACACAAGATAATGTCTTATATCCGCTTGCAACGAAATCTCCCAGGATTTGATCCAAATACCCGACATTGTCTGTATGGACTGGTAAGTTTCTTTGGTATATTTTGATTCACTTAATTTGCTCTCCATTTATAGATTATGTTGCAAATGTACAAGACATTTTGACTCGTAGTTCTGTTTTATTAGGATGCAGATTTGATCATGCTTGCTTTGGCTACCCACGAAGTTCACTTCTCAGTTTTAAGAGAGTCTGTAAGTATGGGGTTTTTTCTCAGTTTTCATCACTGAAATTTTGTGTCCAACTTGACAAATTTTCTAGTCTATTTAATCTGCTTTAGGGAATCCTGTTGACTGTTGAACCTGTTACTTCCCAATCTCATCTGTAATTCATGCTTATGAGATTGATATGTAAAGGGAGGAAGTAAGCTGCAAGCCACATTTTATTTCTCAGAAAATAATTAACAAAGAAATAACAATTGGAATTTTGAAAATTTATCATGTGATCTGCATGTGCCATTTTGCAAGTGGCTCATCAGTCACAAGTGCGCTGGAGGCAATTGTTCTAGACTGCGTTAAAGCTAATGACTGTCATCTATGAAGTTACTCAGTCCACGAGTCCACTTAAATATTTAGATAACAAGAAGCTTCATATTGGACGTTTTCTAATTCAATCGTGAAATTTCAGCACTAACATTCTTTAAAAAAAGCTCAAACTGGATGACAAAATTGCCCCTGATAATCGAACGACTA